GGAAAGCAATGGTAGAATGCCAAAAAGATCTTTTTAGAAATTGCATGTCAGTTACTAGTGTGGCTAGAGTCTGTCTGAACTCTCCCTTACAGCTCTGCCACTATGCTTTGACAAAGACCTATCTGGGCCACCCTGACCAAAAAAAAAAAGACCTTTCCATGAGTGTTTGATAGCTTCTGCCAAATGCTGGATAGTTTTAAAATAAGGATAACAGTTTATGAATACTTCTAATTTTTCAGTTTACTTTATCAGACTTATCACACTGTCATGGTCACAGTTACTGACATTTCTTTCCTTGTTATTTCTCCACATGTTCATGGGTCAAGAAGATGAAATTGCAATTTCTTGTAACTTGGTCACACCAGCACTGTGAGAGCTGAGGGACTGCTGCAACTCAAGTAGCCTAGCTACAGGTAGAGGTGTGGCCAGGGTTTGAGAAAGACTCCCCAAAGGGCTTCTTAACACAGTCACTGTTTCCCAAGATAGGGAATGTAAAACATTCCTATAAATGTTTTTAAACCACAGTGTAAAACATTCTTGCATACTTTTTCTGTTGCTCCAATAGGACCTGCAGGTACAGTCCTATCACTTTGCCCAGGGACTGAAAACCTATTCTGACAGTATATTGGGGCATATTTAGGGGGAATGCCAGTTGTTAACTGCCCACAACTCTGAGAGTGGTCATCGGTGCAAAGTTCTTTCCTCAGGAAGAGAAAGGGTGGAAGAGGGGGCAGATTATGCAAAAGGGCTGCTCTGCCTATGAATCAGTCCTTACTTTCAGCTATAGCACTTAGTACTTCAAAAGCAGGCTCAGAGCCCCACCCTGGGCCTGCCAGGAATACCCGTATTTCTGCCTTGTGGGGAAAATCATATGATGGTCCCTTAGTTGACCACGGGAGGGAAAACGCTTAACCTCAGCTTGCTTCACCAATGCTTGAAATTGCATATTTCCACAGTCATGTCCAGCTGTGTGCCAATGATATGAAGAGATGCAGAATACCCTAAAAAGATTTTTTTTCCACAGATGAGGTTTCAATAATGTAACTTGAAATCAAATTTTGCTGAAATACATTTCTGACTGAAGCTTGTTCCTTTCTAGTCTCTGATCACTTGGTTTTAATCCGATGAGTATGTGAAGACTATCTGGAAGCTAATAACCAAATCTTAGCAAAGTTCTTAAGAGAAAGGAAGTACTTTAAGTATATCTTTTGGAATATACTCCACCACATGAGCCCAGATATCTAATTTTTAAAAGATTACCAGGTCAATTTTGGTAACAATTTATTCTTTTTCAATTTTGGTAACTTTTTTTTTTCCATAATCAAGAAGCCTGACTATGCTTGGGCTCTTTTCCTAATTACCAGCACAGAAAGAGCTAAGAAGCATGTCATAACAGGAAGGTAGAAGCATCCTGTGGTGGTCATTACCCCTACAACAGCTTTCATAAGCATGAAGTCTCTCTAGCATTTAGAGAAAAATATAATTGATCTACTATCCTATGTTTCCCATCCAAAAGACTCTCCTGTGTACCTGAGTAGAAGAGGAGGGCTGTGCATAGCAGCTTGCTCTGCATTTATATATATGCCTCCCATATACTTGGAGGCTTTGTTCTCTGTGGAGAGAGAATGAAGGTGACAGAAAATAAATCTGGGCATAGCCTGGAAAGTTGGACGGCAGCTAGAACCCATCACATAGACTTCTATGCCCAGGCTACCCAACCCTTTGTGTATGTGCTGGCAAATGATTTCGATGAGAGAATTTAGTGAACCACCATGAAGAACTCCAAATAAGTGATATTTAAAGTGATCATCATCAGTTTGGTCTAGCCTGGCGGGGCCTGGCCATTAACAACAAAAGCAAATAAGCTTTTAATAGAGCATTAAAATTCAACTGAGGCCAGGCACAGTGGCTCAAGCCTGTAATCCCAGCACTTTGGGAGGCTGAGGTCAGGAGTTCAAGACCAGTATGCCAGTACTGGGTCGCCTGAGGTCAGGAGTTCAAGACCAGCCTGGCCAAAGTGGAGAAACCCTATCTCTACAAAAATTACAAAAATTAGCCAGGTGTGGTGGTATAAACATGTAGTCCCAGCTACTTGGGAGGCTGAGGCAGGAGAATCACTTGAACCTAGTGGGTGGAGTTTGTAGTGAGCCAAGATCATGCCACTGCACTCCATTATGGGCAACAGAGTGAGACTCTGTCTCAAAACAAACAAACAAATGAGATGGGTCTCCTGAATACAGCACACTGATGTGTCTTGACTCTTTATCCAATTTGCCAGTCTGTGTCTTTTGATTGGGGCATTTAGCCAGTTTACATTTAAGGTTAATATTGTTATCGGTGAATTCGATCCTGCCATTTTGATGCTAGCTGGTTGTTTTGCCCATTAGTTGATATAGTTTCTTCATAGTGTTGATGGTCTTTACAATTTGATATGTTTTTACAGTGGCTGGTACTGGTTGTTCCTTTCCATGTTTAGTGCTTCCTTCAGGAGCTCTTTTAAGGCAGGCCTGGTGGTGACAAAATCTCTCAGCATTTGCTTGTTCGTAAAGGATTTTATTTCTCCTCTGCTTATGAAGCTTAGTTTGACTGAATATGAAATTCTGGGTTGAAAATTTTTTTCTTTTTCAAGACAGAGTCTTGCTCTATTGCCCAGGCTGGACTGCTGTGGCATGATCTCAGCTCACTGCAACCTCCACTTCCTGCCTCAGCCTCCTGAGTAGCTGGAGATTACAGGCATGTGCCACTACACCCGGCTATTTTTTTGTGTTTTTAGTAGAGATGGTGTTTCACTATGTTGGCTAGGATGATCTTGATCTCCTGACCTCATGACCTGCTCGCCTCAGTCTCCCAAAGTGCTGGGATTACAGGCATGAGCCACCACACCCAGCCAAAAATTTTTTTCTTTAAGGATGTTGAATATTGACCCCCTTCTGGCTTATAGGGTTTCTGCTGAGAGATCTGCTGTGAGTCTGATGGGCTTCCCTTTGTGGGTATCCAAACCTTTCTCTCTGACTGCCCTTAGCATTTTTTCCTTCATTTCAACCCTGGTGAATCTGATGATTATGTGTCTTGGGGTTGCTCTTCATGAGGAATATCTTTGTGGTGTTCTCTGTATTTCCTCAATTTGAATGTTGGCCTGCCTTGCCAGGTTGGGAAAATTCTCCTGCATAATATCCTGAAGAGTATTTTCCAGCTTGGTTCCATTCTCCCCATCACGTTCAGGTACACCGATCAAATGTAGATTTGGTATTTTCACATAATCCCATATATCTTGGAGGCTTTGTTCATTTCTTTTCACTTTTTTCTCTCATCTTGCCTTCTCACTTTATTTCATTGAGTTGATCTTTAATCTCTGCTATCCTTTCTTCCACTTGATCGATTCAGCTATTGAAACTTGTGTGTGATTCACGAAGTTCTCGTTTGGTGTTTTTCAGCTCCATCAAGCTGTTTATGTTCTTACCTACACTGGTTATTCTAGCTAGCATTTCATCTAAACTTTTTTCAAGGTTCTTAGCTTCCTTGCATTGGGTTAGAACATGCTCCTTTAGCTCAGAGAAGTTTGTTATTACCCACCTTCTAGAGCCTGCTTCTGTTAATTTGTCAAACTCATTCTCCATCCAGTTTTGTTCTCTTGCTGGTGAGGAGTTGTAATCCCTTGGACAAGAAGAGGCATTCTGGTTTTTGGAGATTTCAGCCTTTTTGTGCTGGTTTCTTCCCGTCTTTGTGGATTTATCTACCTTTGGTCTTTGAAGCTGGTGACCTTTGGATGGGGTCTCTGAGTGGATGTCCTTTCTGTTGATGTTGAAACTATTTCTTTCTGTTTGTTTTCCTTCTAACAGTCAGGCTGCTGCAGGTCTGTTGGAGTTTGCTGGAGGTCCACTCCAGACCCTGCTTGCCTGGGAATCACCAGTGGGGGCTGCAGAATAGCAAAGATTGCTGCCTGTCCCTTCCTCTGGTAACTTTGTCCCGGAAGGGTACCTGCCAGGTGCCAGCCAGAGCTCTCTTGTATGAGGTGTCTGTCAGCCCCTACTGGGAGGTGTCTCCCAGTCAGGATATATGGGGGTCAGGGAGCCACTTGAGGAGGCAGTCTGTCCCTTATCAGAGCTTGGGCACTAACAAATAAAAAACTCAACTGAGAGGGTAGGTCCACTCGTCCTAGAATCTACCCAGACAACCAGACATTTGCCTTTTCTAATCTCCTTCTCCTTATTTGCATCTTCTCTGGTTATCAGACCACCCACCATCCATCTGAACCATGTCTCTACCCCTTCTTCACTCCCAATAGTCCCCTTGGCTCTGATGCCCTATCTGGATTCAGTTTTCCAGCCCTACCCACGTCTGCCTAATTAGGAAACGTGAACCTGATATTGACCTACTGGGACCACAGTTGAAGGTCAATGCATTCCCAATTTATGCCCTGGCTCTCCAATGGGCCTTAGGTGAAATGGATGAGACAATTCCTGAGAAGCTTTTGGCCAGGTAGTGCTATATGCACAATGTCTAATTTATACCATTTGTCTGATCTACTTTTCTGATACATAAAAATGGAAATGTATCTGCTATTCCTACACAAATGGGATTCACTAATACTATATCAAAATACATATATTTTGATATATTCTTTCCCTTAAGCAGGAAGTTGTTGTGAGATATTTATCTTCTAAGAAATGTGATGGAAAAATAGGGTATAAAAATCTCTCCATGAAGGGTTCCATATTCACTCCTACCATCTAGCCTTCATAGGAGACAACAAAGCCTCTCTGCTGGATTGTCACATTGAATTGGTGAATGTAATGTAGGGGCTTCTAGAAAAGAACAAATGCCTGTAAGAGCCAAAGAACCATTGGCTTCAGACTGCAGTAAGCAGTCTGACTTGGGATGTGGAAGATTTTAATAGCTGTAGGTCTCCTCCATAACACAGTTCACCTCCTGCTCAGGAGAGGAACACTAGAGTCCATCCTAACCCATTTTCCTTCCCGGCCCCAAGCAGTTCTGCATACCTGGCATAATAACATCAGGAAATCCCAATTTTCTTGTAATTGCCAATCCCCTATTAAATATCATGGGATTTTCTCTCCGAATCTGTTCCATGTCTCCACGAAGAAGCTGCAGAGATATGATAAGACCTGCAAAAACAAAAGCATTTTCTTAGAACCACAGTTCTACCCTGTTACATAGTACTAGAAAAGACACAGTCACATTTTCCATAAGAAAATGTGCCAAGGGAGGTAGGGAAGAAAAAAAAAGTGCCAAGTTCAGCAAATTTCTTGAGAAAAATCTTGATGCAGAAAGTATAACTTATTTTGAAGAAACATTTTGGAAAGCTAAAGGAATTTAAGTCAAAGTGACCCTAATAACCCAGAGAACTAGTCTATTAAAAACAGACTGAAGTCTGGGAGATTGAGTTGTCTCTCTCTCTGTTCCCCAGCATCCAACTCAGGTCCAGCTGGCTCTTTGGTGAATACTGAATGAGAGGGTTGAACTACATAATTTGTATATTTGAGAATCTAGAGAAATCTATAGACTAGAAACTAACATGGCCAAAGAAGACCTTCAGTCAGGGCATCCCACATATGAGAGATGAGCAAGCTAAGATGTGCTGTGTTTTATGCTAGGAGTATGCCAAAGTGTGCAAAGTAACTTTCTGGTTCAACCTTGCACTGGCTTGCAACAGAGGAGATATTCTGCAAAGAAAAGAGTGTGCTTTGTGGGACTAGCTAAGCCTTAAAGAACTCCATGAGGATTTCAGATCCTTCACATATCTTCAATCAAAAGTTGGGAGTATTTGTAATATCCCCTCAGGTGAGCTGCTTTCTGGCTCACTACTTATGTCCTTGGAGTTTTGCACAAAGTTAGAATCTCCTGAAATTTCCCCCTCTACACTACTTTCCTGAGGGTCCCCACTGCAGCTACTGGCTAGAAGGCTCTAACAGTCAAGCCTCTATGGAATTAGGAAGTGTTACCTCTATAACTGTGAATGGGTTTAGCTGTTAACAGGATGAATAATTTAGATGCAAATCTATGGGTTGACAGGAGGCACCCTCAATGGTCTATAAACTTGTAGCAGATGAACAATTAGAGAAACGAGGGAATAAGGTGTTATGATAATAAATACAATTAAAAGAGTAGTAGCTGGAAGGGAAACAGTAGCATGAATTGTAAAATAAGAATGGTCTAGGAATGGGAAGGCAGGAGGGAATGGAGAAGTAGACAAAGATAGAAGTCAGAAGAGTTATAGATATTTTATCTGGCAAGTAATAGTATGCCAGTACCAGGAATATGTACTCTCAGAGCTGGGCCAAGGCAAGAAATACAGTTCTACTACCGCCTGGACAGAACCTCACGATTAACTCATTGCTTCTGCTGAACTCATGCTTCCCAAGAAACCTTGGTATCTTAAGTGTCATTAACACCAGGATCGTAGTACCCTGAAAAGGCAAACATAGGGTATTCCACTTGGCATTCTGGTTAGATAATCAGTGTTTGGGATTTCAACCACTCTAAAGTAATTATTTTATAGCCTAATCACTGGTGGACTAAACTACAATTAGTTTATGAATCTGAAAAGCTGGGGGCCAGAACCAAAACCACAATAATCTTTGTAGAGAACAGCTTAGGATATATCTGCTCTCACTTCATAACCCTAACTTACTCATCTTTGTTGTCTTTACGTAGCCAACAGAAATCCACTGACTTAGGAGACAGCCTAGCATGAAGCAAATAGGATGAAAGTCTCTATAATTTGAGGGGGTTGTGGTTGGTGGGCAAAAGCAAAAAAAAAAAAAAATCAGTAGGTATACTCTAACCATTCTGCATTGGCAAAGATTGATTTAAGTACCCACTGACTGCCTTTTGTTTATGCATTTTCTGAGCAACCAAAACGGCCTACAGATGCAAAGTGATACTCATGAAGATGTTGACTAAAGGTGCTGAGAGAGTCACAGTTTTTGAGCTACCCAAAGGGATCCTAAATAGATGCTCTCTACCTCTAAACATAACAAATAAGAGAAAAACTTCAAGTTTATGCAAGAGATCAAATGAAAAGGCATGCAAAGAATAAAATAAATCACCAATGGAGGCTATAAAAACCATCTCCTTTTGTAGGGTTGGGATCCTGGAACTTTTGGGTTTCCATTCTAGTTCTGAAACTCTGGGTGATTGAAGCACATACCAAATAATGCTAAGGCATGGTTCTAAGCACAAGAAAGCCTTCATGAATAGTTCAGAAAAGTGACCCACTTGCTCACTCGGTATGCAACCAGTCTCTTGGCAACACTTGATGTTCTACATGCCTATCATCTTAATGGAGCCCTCAAATCAAAGAATTTCAAAGTAACAAAGTATATACAATTTCTGTTAATCTGGTCCTGCTAATTACCTGACACAAGAAAACCATTTTCTTACTGAACCTCTTACCAGATTAAAGAGTGACCCATAAAAAAGTAACTGAACAAAATTAAGACCTATGTAAAATATTAGAGGCACCAACCTGACTTTGTTCTTGTGTCCCACCTCCCCTACCCTTCCTTGTGGAAATGCTGGATGAGGATTAATTATATAAATTAACAGCAGCCTAAGATGCGGAAATAAGTTGTAGTTAATAGTCATTTAAAAATAAATAGAAAACTTGTATGTCAACTGCTTTACCTTCACTTGTTCTTAATACTCTTCATGCTAGTACTGGAACTGTTAAAAGTTCAGTTTGTAGCTACATATCTAAGAGGCCAACAATGGAAATGAAGAGCCACATCTATTAAAGTTAACATAAAAGAGTTACTGCTGGATGACACATTTACTCTCAGCACTCAAACCCAATGTAGCAATTGCTTCTGCATTTTTAAATTATGTGACTTGAAGGAAAAGCACTAGTGACTTTTGAAACAGAACTGCAAGGCAATGAACTGCCCATGATATTTAACAAAGATGGATAAAAGTTTATAGCGAAGTAAACTAATTTTCAATAAAGGTGTGGCCGGGTGTGGTGGCTCATGTCTGTAATCCCAGCACTTTGGGAGGCTGAGGCGGGTGGATCAGTTGAGGTCAGGAGTTCGAAACCAGCCTGTCCAACATGGTGAAACCCTGTTGCTACTAAAAATACAAAATTAGCCAGGCATGGTGGTGCATGCCTGTAATTTCAGCTACTCAGAAGGCTGGGGCAGGAGAATTGCTTGAATCTGGGAGGCAGAGGTTTAGTGAGCCAAGATCGTGCCACTGCACTCCAGCCTGGGCAACAAGAGCAAAACTCCATCTCAAAAAAATAAAAATTAAAATTAAAAATAAATAAATAAAGATGTATCTTTAACTAAGCAGACTAATAACCACCTGAAATATTCCTTGAGCAATCTATAAAATTCTCTAACACGAAGACCCCAGAATCCGGCAGTAGAAAACCCATGCTCAGAAGCGTGGCAACTGAGTAGAAAGGCCAAGGCCTGGAGTCTGGAGGCCGGGTTCTACTCTTGTTTAGTCACTAAGTCTTTTCGCTGAGCTTCAGTTTCCTCATTTATTTAATGAGGGTATTGAAACAGGTAATGTCCAAGGTCTCAATCAGCTTCTAACAAACTTCAAAAAGAAGCAGCCTATTCCTCATACTGACTTTTCCACAACTACACAGAGACCTCTTCTCACTAGACCCATCCTAACAGAGGCTTTCTGAAGTCTGTGGTGCCTTGCAGAGAGGTCTTTTCAACACTGTTTAAATGGCAAGTATCTGTGAGTTCTAGACAAAAATCGACACGGAATAGGGCACAGTTCCAGCTTGCGCTGGGGAGCAAGACAAAACTCATCATCTTAACCTGGTGAGGCAATGGTAGAAACTGCTCTTTCATGAATTGGTACTACCATCTCTCTTTTTAAATATTCTCTATATGTTTTAATCATATTATGCCCCAAGAACATGTGTCAAAGGTACCTCTTTATAAATCAAATAATAAAGCAAAGGACATAACAAATATTGATGTGAGTGGTAGTTTCCCAAATTGCTAGTAACTTTCCTGTATTTTCAAAACAAAATTTTATTTGTCTCTTGCTTTAGCCTAGATTTAGTGCACTGCATGGAACTACATGGCATCCAGTCATATGTATAAGGGAAAACTGTCATTTAAAAATAGTGAGAGGCTCTCAGATCTCCCCTAAACCCCCGCTAGAATTTTAGAGGAATCAAGTTGTTACAGTTAAAGGTCTCAATCTTGGCAGCCTCTGTTGTGGATCTCCTCTAAGTATCTTCCTGGTTGAGCATCTGCTCACCCTAACAGAGAAAAAACAAAGTTCTCTACAACATGTACTATTCTTTAGAAACTGCTTGCCTCTCAGTGACTTAACGCTGTCGCTTAAAGACAACTTACAATTTCCAACAAGGTCTATGAAAGTTAAAACAAAGAGGATTATGTAAAAGAGGTTATAAAATGATTTAGTTGTAAAAATCGTCAGGAGTAACATGGTTCTGTCTACATTAGATAGCTATCTGTAAGGGTCTATAAAGGCATATAGGCTTTTAAATAATGCTTCTCATTTAATCAGGCATTAATGTTTAACTTAGAAAACAATATGTAGAACTGGACTGAGATTTATAGAAATTATTTAAACAAAGTTGTTAAAGAAAGGAAGGGAAAAGGTAAAGGAGAAGTTTAGCTAAGATGACGCTTCTTTTAAATAAAGATTTTCCATTCTAATTTCAGAATGACTGAATACTGGTGACTAATCACTGATTCTCATTATGATCAGTTTTTCAGGAATAAAAAGAGAAGTGTGTGATGTCTGTATCTATGTAGATATCTATCTATATACATACAGAGATATTTATTTGGCTGAGTATAATCTTTGTTTAGGCAAACACAGACTTTTTTTTTTTGTTACATTACAAGGTAACAAACCCTGCAACACTTTTGCTCACTCTGGATTTGAAATAGAACTCAAGTTACCTATCAAAGAATATGGAACCCATCATAGAAAAAACAGAAAATGTATTTTGGTCAGTAGATATTAGGGAAGGCCTCAAATTATTACAAAAATAATTAGTAGGAAATGCCTGGGCAGAAGCATAAATGTCCGTAGGGAATACAGCAGCCAATCTGCACCACCCAACTGAAGTGCTATATGATTAGCAACTACAAATGCAACACAAAATGTTCTAGCTAGAGAGGTACCTCACCATGGCTGGCGCTGGGGGCAGAGTACTTGGCACTGGACTTTCGGATGATGTTCTCGTGGATCTGGGACCACTCACTCTCATTGTTGCACCTGTAACAGAAGGACAGGTGTTATGGCACTCAAGTATTTTAAACACCTGGTCTGATATTACAATGTGTAACACTTAAGTTCAAAGGGAAAATGATCCCTCACTTTCCTAAAGAAATAGTGTTATATTTTACTAAATTAAACAAGGCTCATTTCCTATTAAGCAGAAAAGACATACTTGGGCAAAGGGTAGAAACTCTAAAATGAATTTCTACATATTTTAATTGGCAAAATTCTTCCTCTCAGAAGTAGCACTATCCCACATGAAAAGTTGTTTTTTCTCTAGCACCACACTGCACACGTGTGCACACACATATACAAAGGCCACAGAGGAAAGTTCCTGATAGAGGAAAAACATTTCCTCTCAACAAGTACTATTGTTTTACAACTGCTACAGCTTTGGCTTTATACTGTCATACAACTGTCATTATTACTGGCCCCAAAGGAAAGCCCTGCTAAGCTAAGGACCATGTAGATACCATTTGCATTTAGCTATGTTTTAACCGACCAAGTTAAGAAGAAAAGCATGGGAAAGCAGTGGGCTTGATTTGCCATGAAGTCTTCTGTGGTCAGGGGGAAGGAGGGCTTAGCAGAGAAAGCTGATGCCTAAATGTATAAGAATAAAGTTCCTACCTACGAATAAAGCTCCTTCCTAGGAACTATGGGATGGAGACAAAAGAATGGAGACAGAACAGTGCACTTCTGTTAAATTCTGATGTTTTATTATCTTCCTTCTAAAGGTCAATTCCTGGAGAACTGCAACCACATAACCATTTGGAACACAGTTTAGGAACACAGATTAGGAATTCCTTATCCTAGTACAGATACCTTGACAAAACAATTGAAAAAAGATGAGGGTAATCTTTTGAAAATTCCATTTGACACTCAGGGAGTCCCCACAGTCCTGGTTCTACTCCCTCCCCTGTTGGTTAGGAAGGTATAAATCTACCTGTTCCAGAATACAGGACCCATGCAAAAAGGAACAACCCATGGAAATTTCCATGTGTTACTCAGAAGTGTCCAGTTCAGCATGGCTATTTCCAGGAGGAGACCCCAATAAGTTATAGAATATGCCATCCAATAGTATGAAGCATTTCAGATCTCTAAATAAAAGGGTTGGAATAGAGTCTACTCAGAGATAAGGCGGGTCAGTTACTAGTTTAATTAATTCTGTTAATTACCCAGTCAGTGACATTTTGGACTCCTTAGCCATACAAATATGCCTCATTTACTCAGAGCTGTTGTGATGAATTGTTAAAGGAAGTTCTCCCAGTTCAGGGCTCTAAGAATAACTTTCTGCCTACAGAATTCCTTCTAAACAAGGAAAAAGGGAAGAGTAACCTTTAAAACAATCACTTGTGATTTAACAGCTCAGCCGGAAATTAAAAGCCTTGAAAATTACCTTCCCTACTATATGGGGCAATTTCAGTTTTTCTCTAACAAAATACTCACTGGTCCCTTGGTGGTATAGCGAAGCTGAAGCTTTGTCAGTCATACCAACAGTAGCAATCTGCATTATTTCACTCACATCTACCCCTTCACCCAACACATACAATTCAGATGCTAGACAACTGACAGTCTATTCCTGCCATTCCTTTCCCCTTGCATGTCCCTTACCTATTGGTGACCTTCACAGCTCTGCCTTCAGCCAATTTCCTTCTTACCCTACAAGCCTTCCTGAGCAATCTCATCCATTCCCATAGCTTCAACCACTACCAGAGGCTGCCAAGCTCCAAAGCCTTGTCTCCAGCCCAGATTTATCCTAAGCTCCTGATCTATACGGCCAAGAAAATTCATTTCTCCCCAACCTCTCTGCTCTCAGAGATGCCCTCTCACTGAGAGGAACTCTCTATCTTACTCTTCCATTCTTTTAGCAGCTTCCTTGTGTTATACCTGATGTAGTTATTAAAGGCATGTTTAGGTAAAATTGCTTTCTAAACCCTTAAACCTCATTCTGTGGTGATAGATGTGCACCTTCTTTCTTTTTCCTTTTTCCTTTTTTTGAGTCAGAGTTTCACTCTGTCACCCAGACTGGAGTGCAGTGGCACAAATTTGAGTCATTGCAACCTCCACCTCCCTGGTTCAAGCGATTCTCGTGCCTCAGCCTCCCAAGTAGCTGGGATTACAGACACCCACCACCATGCCTGGCTAATTTTTGTATGTTTAGTAAAGACAGGGTTTCACCATGTTGGCCAGGCTGGTCTCAAACTCCTGACCTCAAGTGATCTGCCCACCTCAGCCTCCCAAAGTGCTAGAATTACAGATGTGAGCTATCACGCACAGTCTAGATGTGCAGCTTCTAAGGCTATTCTTACTAGCCTTTAATTTGAATTAGTATAAAGAGCAAGTGGGTTTTCAAACCCACAGAAACGCACAAGGATTGTATTAGTCACAGTCTCACTAATTCCATTCCTCCCTTTCCCTTTTTTTTTTTCTTTTTCCTGTAAGGCTACAAATGACCTCTCTGTCAGTGAATGATAAATAATAATACTACATTCAAAAGAAACTTTTGAATGTAATCACTGAACATCAAGAAAAAATATATTTCTGCAAGCTCATGATGGAAATAAATTCTAAGTCAGCCTTTGTCTCTTGCCTGTTCAATGAGCTGGGGGACCTACCTCACTGTTCTGTATCCTCTGTTATAAGAGGCACAAGTGGCGCTGTTATGGTCTCTGTCACTCTTTGACTTAAAGCTAGTGGGAGATCCCTAGAAAGATGTTGGGACACCCTGGAAGCTGGGAAATGAGGCCAGACATGTCTGCTCTTCCCTGCTGGGCTTTGTCACTTTGCAAACAGTGTCCAGAGCATTGTCCCCGAATCCCAGAACAAGGAGGTGAAGAGAACAGAGTAAAAAGCACCCATGGTTAAGCAGCTCCACAGGTCTGCAAGGTGAAGAAGCAGGTTCACCAAGAGGCAGATAACTTTCCTGGGTCTATGTGCTTCTCCAACTTCCCCTGACATCTTGGCCCTGAAATGTCTGAGGAGCAAGGCATCATTTTGAAACCTAGCCTTTGGCAGACTGCTTGCTGTCCTGCAGCCCAGCAGTGCCAGGACTGAGGCATGAGAGAAACTTGAGCTATTGCCACTGTGACTGAGGAGTATGCTGGAAGCATATCTACAGGAAGAGCTAAGAAGCAAGTAAGGCATGGGCTGCAGCTGCTGGTGCTGAGAAATGAGCACCAGCAGGATGGAGACTGGGATGCAAGTGGGGTAAAAGTTGCTACTGGGACTTGATCACTACTGGTTGGGGCTCCTGCAGCTGGGGTGGGATCACAAGCTGGGTGTGGGCTACTGCTGCCAGGGCAAGGGAGCAAGGATTTTTGGCACTAGGGTGTGAGGAATGTGCATTCCCACCCACTGGCCCAGGCTCTGGTCACTGAGGATGACCTCACCCTCTATTGTGACAGGGTGTTAGCAAAGCTGCTAACACTCCTCACCTGAGCACTCCAGCTGGGGCCTTGTCCAACATGGCTGGTGCCTGTTCTCACCAGTTGAAGGTCTGAGCACAAGCCTACCTAGGTCAGCTTTACTCTCTGCTCTGTGACAGAGAACACAGCCCAGGGTCCTGGCAAATACCCAAACCAACCACTTTGGGCACCTGGGTACTTCTCCTGGGGGCCTAAACTCCTGGCTGCTATCACCTCATCTGGCACCTACCTGCACATGCCACCTAAGTTCCTGGAGATTGGACTACCCAGCCCATCAAAGCCACCACCAACATCAATGCACATCACTCAGCACCCAGAGAGTTGTCCCACTAGTGCTATTGCTATCACTCATGCCATGCAGCTGCCCAGGAACCTGAGAACCTACCCACCTGTACGATCCAGCACTGCCACTACCATCGATTGAGTAAGTTGGTGGAGGCCCACCAACTGACCCACCAATAATTGCCAACATGGCTGCGAGTGTACACTGCCCAGTGACACTATCACTACTAAGGCCTGAAGACTGGCCCACCTGGCATCCTACTCCCAGCACACAACTTCCCCACAGCCTTAACTAATAACTGTAACCTATCAAGGAAATCACAGATGCTACTAATGCTGTTTATAGCCAAGGAAATTATACAGAGATGACACTACTGCACATACCAGAGTCAAAGCCAAAGCACCCTACCCAACCAACACCACAGATACACCTTTAGGAAAAGGTCTTCCCCTACTAAATTCAAAAACAGGAAGAAGTAACTGTTACTCCAGATGCACAGATTTCAATGTAGGGACACAGGAAACATGAAAAAGCAAGGAAATATAACATTTCCAAAGGAACATAAGTCTCCAAAAATAGATTTTAATCAAAAAAATTTTTCTGAAATCCCAGATAAAGAATTCAAAATTTTGATATCACAGAAGCTCAGTGAGATACAAGAGAATTCAGAAAAACAATTCAGGATATGAATGAGAAGTTTCCCAAAGAGATAGTCTTTAAAAGTATCAGATAGAAATTCTGCAATTGAAGAATTCACTGTAGGAACTACAAATTACAGTTGAAAGCTTCTGCAATAGACTAGAATAGCAGAAGAATCTCAGAACATGAATATAAATCTTTTGAAATAATTGCATCAGAGAAAAATAAAGAAAAAGGAATAAAAAAGAATAAGCAAAGCCTTTGTGATGATTAAATATTAAAATTATTGATATCCACCAGGTCAAAGAGACAGAGACAGGATTGGAAAATGCATTTAACAAAATAATAAATGAAAACATCTCTAGTCTAGCAAGAGATTTAGACATTTCAGATACAAGAGGCTCCGCAATCCCCAGGAACACATTATGCAAAAAGGTCTGTACAGCATATTATAGTCAGACTGCCTAAAGTCAAAGATAAAGAGCAAATTCTTAAAAATAGCAAGATATAATCATCTATTCAAATATTCACAGGCCAGAATAGAATGGGATAATATATTTAAATAACAAAAGAAAAAAAATCTGGTCGAATGCAGTCGCTCATGCCTGTAATCACAGCACTTTGGAAGGCTAAGGCAGGTGGACTACTTG